CATTTTTTAAAATACTGATGCCTGAGCCCCTCCCTAAACAATTAAATTGGAATGGCCAGGGCCCAGGGATCAGTATTTTTAAATTGCTCTCCAGGTGGTATTAATATGTAGTGAAGCTTGTGATCCCTGCCCTAGACCTAGAGATTTTACAGCTGGAAGAGATCATTTAGTGCAAACCCTTAAATCTCTTGGGAATTTACAGCTACTACTACTGGTTCACATGTCCCAACCCCAATTTCCACTGTTCTTTCTTAATTATTACTATGCATCAACAATGTGACCAATCTTGGGTGACCAAGTTTTTTCCAGTTTTGCCTGGGACACTCCTGGTTTTAGCACTGCAAGTTCCAGGTTCAGAGTAAATTGGGGCACTTGGTCCCCGTACTAACATTTTACAGCTCACAGACTGGAACACGGTACTATTAAATTTTGCTTCTAACATCCAGCATCCAGATCTCGGTTTCTAAATACCATTCTCCCTTAAAAGGAACCAGGGCTCCTTGAAAATGACTGATGCCAGGATAGAGCAGGGAAGTGTAAAGTGAAGCCTAGGAATCTTGTGCCAGAATCTAAGGAAGGGCTCAAAGACATGTGTGGGCATGTCAAAGGGACATGGGAGCCAGCCTGAAGGGACTGCACTGGTGAAACTGGAGAAAATTTGAACATTACAAAGAAAATGACTGAACTGAATGTAAAACACTGAAATTAAATAAGAAACACATTACTTCAAACTAACAGTTATAGCCTGGCCAGTGTGGCTCAGTGGTTGAGCATCAACTTACCAACAGGGAACATGGCCAGAACTGTTTTAACATACCTTCCTGGTGATTTGGATGCACACTCAATTTTGAAAACCACTGGTTTAGAGCACTGTTCTCAGGCTCCATCCCCAGTAGGGGGTGTGCCGGAGGCAGCCAATCAATGACTCTCTCTCACGATTGATGTTTCTCTCTCTCTCCCTCTCTCCCTTCCTCTCTCTGAAATCAATAAAAACATATTTAAAAAAACTAACAGTTATAAAATTAGTCATGGGGTGTAAAGTACTGCACAGGGCCCTGGCCGGGTAGCTCAGTTGGTTAGAGCATTGTCAGAATACGCCAAGTTTGTGGGTTCGATCCCCAGTCAGGGAACATACAAGAATCAACCAATGAATGTACAAATAAGTGGAACAACAAATCAATGTTTCTCTCTCTCTGTCTCTCCCTTTCCCCCTCTCTCTCTCAAATCAGTAAATTAAAAAATAAAGTACTCGCATAAGGAATAGAGTCAATAACATGGTAATAATTATGTATTATGCCTGGTGGGTACTAGACTTATTGGAGTGATCACTTAGTAAATTATATTAATATCTAATCACTATGTTGTACACTGAAACTAATATAATATTGTATGACAACTATAATTAAAAATAGATTATAAATAAGAAAGAAAAACATTGAGTCAAGTGATATTCAAAAAATATATAGAACTACTTTGCTACTATTGGAAGTAACTGTTGTATCAACTTCTTGCTCTGAAAATTGGTAGTCAAGGGGACAGAATTAAGCTTATACCTCACCTTTTTGCTTCATATCCTATAGATAAGAAAAACCTCATCTTCACCAAAAAATGCCAGCTAAGAAACAAAGACTGGATGACAGAATTAGGAAATTACCATTTTGTAACCCCCAATTAAACCAGCAAGTCAGGAAATATAGTTTAAAAATTAGAAAAACAGATACTGAGTCAGGAAACAATAATGGATGGATGCTAAAATCTTTAGGTGATAGGTTATTGAGGAACAGGACATTTACATGGTACAAAAGTACCACTCCACAGATTTCTTGTTAATTATAAAGAGAAAATTACATGGAGCGTTCTGAGGGCCATCACTTTAACCATCACCTTTCTAAGAGTGGACAACTGATACTCTGTGTCTCCGGATGTGATGTGACATAAAGTACATAGCATTTACTTATGAGGCATTCTTGTCAAAAATGGTTTAATCTGAATCTAGCCTCTGCGCCCAAGAACTTCCAGTTTACAGAAAATCCGAGGACTGGAAGGAGCTAAACACCACTATAAGGAAGCAAACCATCCTAGTTTGCCCAGGACTGAAGGGTGTCCTGGGATGCAGGATCAGGGCTAAAACCAGGAGTGTCACAGGCAAACCAGGATGATTGGTCACACTACAATCAGACAGATTCCTCGTATGGAGCAGAACTGGTCTCTAAAAGTCAGTGCCATTTTAAAAAGTGAGGAGACTTTGCCCGGCTGGTGTGGCTCAGCAGTTGAGCACTGACCTAGGATCCAGATCAAGGTTCGATTCCCAGTCAGGGCACATGCCCGGGTTGCAGGCTCGATCCCCAGCAGGGGGCATGCAGGAGGCAGCCAATCCATGACTCTCTCATCATTGATGTTTCTCTCTCTCTCTCTCTCCCTCCCCTCTCCTTTCCTCTCTCTGAAATCAATAAAGATATATTAAAAAAAAAAAAAAAGAATATTTCTGTTTTTGCAAGGAAACCACTTAAAAAATACTGCTAGCATGAGAGTGACACACGATTTTCAGGAATTGCCTTTTTTTTTTTTTTTTGCTAAACATTTCCTATATTGTTATTCTTTAACAAAGAATTTAACATCATCTCTGAGTGTTTATTTACTTTGGGAAATATGAACTAATGAAGAGTAACGTTTATCTATCTCACTAATAATTAAAATTTGTGGCCCCTTCCCAATACTATGTTTCCTTTCATTTCAAAATATAACATAACAGATTCTATTTGTTGTCCTAGGTATCAACTAATGAGACTCGTGGCATTTAATTTATTCTTGATCTAATCTTTCTGTCAACCTCTCTGCCTCACTCATGCTGAATTTGGGTCGCATCTTAAACCCAACAGTTACTGTAGTTTCATTCATTACTAACCCCAACCAGGCTTTGATGCACCTGTTCTTATTGCAAGTGAATCTCAAAGTGAAAGATAATCATAGTCAATTTTCAACCTTCCTGAGAATGAAAATTTTTTGGTCAACTGGAGAATTTCACTGTAAAAGTTTCAGTTTCCTTTCAATGGGGCTTAGCATAACTAGCCTTGCCCAGGGGTGCCCCAGAAAGTGTCAAAAGGAGAAGATCAAAATAAAGGTACTAATGAAGCCAAGAATAGTTGCTTAATGTTCTCAATTCTTAGATCCTTTTTAAAAAATAAAATGCTTGGCTCACAAGAATTTAAGGATTTCTTGACAAAGGCTAACTCAATGTATGGACATAGTTGTGCATAAGTGTCTTACTGAAGTCCCAAATAAAACAACCAGATATAAGCCCCAATGGACGTGGCACTGACAAATACAATTCAATATTTCTTAAGATTTTGCAGCTAATAAAAAATTATTCCAAAGAGATTTAGAAATTCAAATCATTGGAGACAAATCTTGGCTTTGCTTCTCTTGATATGGTCATGTTTGAACTCTCTTTTGACACCATCTATTGTGGTCTGATCGCCAACATTCCCATTATTGACTCAGCTCTTATTGACATTTTTATTCCTCTGTTTACCCTGTTTTACTTTATAGCCTGAGGCCTGTAGGAGTGGAAGGCAGCCTCACATTCAGATATTGCTAAAGGGAAAGTTCATTTAAATAAAACTTTCAGTAGCCCAAGTTCCGGATTTTTAGGTTATAGGTTATTCTGCTGACTTTCTCCAAGTGTAAGAAATGACTTCAGAGTGTAGAGACCATTGTCATTACATTAAAATGACGACTCGGGCTGTGCGGAGTCCCAGGACCGAGAGCTAGTTCCTCCGGCGGTGCTTCCCCCGTGGGCAGAGCAGAGGGTCCCCCTCCCACTCCTCCAGGTTATCGAGAGCATGAAACAGAGGAACACATGTAAAGGTGACCTCAGACCTGTGACAACAGGAAATTATTATTGTTAAATATGACACTTGCCTGCAGTAGTCACCCTCTTAGCTTGTGTGCTTTGAGGACTTCATCTACGAAATGATATTGCGAGCCAAAGGAAAATGTGATTTGATCTATAAAAATATTTGTTTTGTCTATAACAGTTACAGCTAAAGGAACCACCACCACAACAAAAACCCAAACATGCATGTGTGTGAATAATAATGCATAGATGAATATTTATAAACGAAGTAGGAAAAAAGATTAACATTATGCNATGAGATGGGCATTTTAGAAACTCACTCTGGCTGTAGAGAGTGAAATGAATGGGAGCAAGAGTGGAGATAGCAGCAGCAGTTGTGAAGATGGCCCTGTCAGTAATAATCTGGTGAGAGATGAGGGTAACCTGCAGGGATGGAGACTCAGTGATACCCTGGATGTTGGCAGGGGGTAGAGGAAAAGAAGGTCTCAGAACTCCCAGGCTTCTGGCTTGAGTGACTGAGTAGATTGGTATATTCATCCAAATTTGGAATGTAGGAACAAGAACAGATTGAGGGAAAGATGTGAAACATTCGACATGATGAGTTTGGAATATCTAGAATATATCCAGGTGGAATCTACCTTGTAGGCAGTTGGACACAGGAATGAGAAAGATAACTCTGGGTCCAACTTAGATAACTAATAGATGGGATTTCCATTTGCAGATATAGGGAATAAAGGGGAAGAAAATAGAAGTCGCTTTACATTTAATTATTTTAAGTTATAAAATGACATAACCCTATTACATAAAATGAGATATAGGAAAATCGAAATAAAGCTTATACAGCTACCATATATCAACACTTCTTATCATTTTAGATTATTTTTTTCTATTTGTAAATAGATATTTATAAATTAGCTTTAATAGCCATGGTTGTTGTTTTTTCTGAGGAGGCTTCTCTAGAAGTATTTAGGATTGAGAAGAATTGAAAATACTAATTGGCCCGATATCATTTTGTAAATCAGACAATGTTTGCTAAGTTACACATTCTGAGGCTGTTAAAAATTGCAAAAAACAAAATCTAAATTGTTGGGCAAGTATCCAAGAACAAGTCCAGAGCTGAATATAGAAATCATGCACCAGAGAATGTCAGTTTCAATATCCAGTTTATTATAGTATGTACTGGATCATTAGGGAGTTCTGGAGCTTTCTGCCTCCATACTACACAGCACAATTGTAGGTAGTCAGTCCCTTCTCTGAAGATCTCCTTTCCCATGGGGTCTCTTCTAATACCAGTTCTCCCTCTACAGGTAAGAACTAATTGGTGCTATTGCTCCCAGGAGTAACCACACTTTTAAAGGGTATTCTAGAAGCCTAGAAAACCCAAAGGAATGAAGCTCTGCTGAGTTCATGTAGTCACCCTGCAATCACTTTATAGCTTACTCTGCTTTTTAAAAAAAAGCTAGACTTGTTTCTAGTTGATTCTTGGCTACCTCATGAACACATATCTAATAAAATCTTGGGGCAAATACAGAGACCTGAGGCAGTGTGAAATTATTACCAGCCGCTAAGAAAAGCTCAGTTATCACACCACAGGCAGAGTCAGACAGAGGAGACAGGCTGACAATAAAAGGAAGGAACCATCCATATCCAGGGCCAAGGATCCGAGGTCACAGCAAACACACACGAGAGCAAGGGAACCTGAAAACTAAGGCTATAAATCTGGCTCGTGTAGGAAGGCTTGCTATCCAAAGACCGGCTTCCCCAGTAACACTCTCAGGGTCTGCAATGTAACCGTATGCCAAACCTAAAAGTTAATGAAACCTCGGCCTTAATGAAGAGCCTGCCATCTGACAGGAGGCTGCTTATCGAGTAAAGAGGAACACCAGCTCACAGTGTGGGGTGTGGGGGAACAGATCCACAGGCACGGCTTGTCTCAGGACGAAAGGCTCACCAAGAAGCTTCTTAGCAGAGTTTGGGGGACAGCACAGCCTGTAGAACAAGATCACAACATCAGTTCCTACTAACCAAGGAGAGCTTCCGGGAACACAATTTCTTACATTTTAAGCCCTGCCTCTGTGTTCCCACAGCCCCCTGTGTTTCTTTCTATAACAGCATTTATCATATTTAATGTAGCTACCTGCTTTTTTAACCATCTTCGTCAATGAAGTAGAATCTTTTTGAGGTTAAAAATGAGGCAAAAACTGCTTATTATTCACCTCTGTGTTCCCAGTGTGTGACACAGAATAGGGGTCAATGGTGAATGGAGCAAGAGGCCTAGGTCATATACTTTTCTGTATGATTTGTACACAATAGGTACAAATCCAGGAGGTTAAGTTTCAATTCCCGGTCAGGGCACATGCCTGAGTTTCGGGCTCGATCCCCAGCAGGGGGCGTGCAGGAGGCAGCTGATCAATGACTTATCATTGAGGTTTCTCTCTCTCTCTTCCTCTCCCTTCCTCTCTCTGAAATCGATAAAAACATATTTTTTAAAAAAGATAGCTTACTATTATATAAACATTTTTTGCACTCCTGGCTATTTCCACTTAGTAACATACCTTGGAACCAAAATCATGAGGCACAAAATAATAAAATAGTCAGGACATATTCAAGATTAAATACTCTGGACTTCAAAGGACACCGTCAAGAAAATGAACAGAGAACCCCCAGAATGAGAAACAATATTTGCAAATTATTTATCTGATAAGGGACTGGTATCCAGAAGCCAGACACAAAAGACCACATATTGTATGATTCCACTGATAGGAAATGTTCAGAGTAGGCAAATCAGTAGAGACAGAAAGTAGATTTGTGGTTGCGTAGGGTGAGGATGGGAGGTTTGGGGAAAAATAGGGTACATGATATTTTCTTGGCTTAATGAAAATGTTCCACAATTGTTGTGACAGATGCACAACTCCATAGATATACTAAAAACCAATAAACTATATAAATGGATGATCCATATGGTATGTGAATTATATCTCAGTAAAACAGTTTAAAAAATCAATAACTTGCATGATAAAAGGCACCAAACCAAAGACAGGAGACAACATACATGCTGGAAATACATTTGCAGTTTACATCACAGACAAAGCCGTTTTGCCTTAATTTGTAACAAACTCCTGGAAATCGATAAGAAAAAGAACAGCCCAAAAGAAAAATGAACAGAGATATGAAAAGAAAATATTATGAATGTGTTTATGAACTATGAAAGGGTTTGCAACACAAAAGTTTTTTGAAACTTTGATGATGTCCAATTACAGACACACACAAAACTTATTGGTTTTTGTTTATTTGTTGTTGTTGTTTGGGTTTTTGATGTCATATCTAAGAAAGCTTTGTCTAACCCAAGGTCACAATGATTCACTCCTACATTTTAGCTCTTACATTTAGTTCTATGATCCATTTTGAATTCATTTCTTTGCATGGTAAAATGAAGGGAGAAGTTACTCCGTACATAGCCAAATTTAACATTTTATTATATGGCTTCTGAATTTTCAGTTAGAAAAGGCTTCTGTACTCCAAGATTATAAAGAAATTCTATGATGTCCCAGGCTACATTTATGGTTTTCCCTTTTTACAGTTAAATCTCTGACTCCTTTATAATATATCCTGGTACACGGTATGAGATAAAAATCCAACTTTTTTCTTCACCATGGCTACCCAGCTGTCCATCATCATGTACTGAAAAGTCCATCTTTTCACCATTGATTTGAGGTGCCACCTTTATCATATATATTTTTTAAAATTTAACAGTATAATAAAGTACAAATGGAAGAGTAAATGTGCAGTAGACAAGCAAATAAGGCTCTGAACACAAATGGGCCTCATGCTATCACTTTGGGTAGAAGAAACTCTTTCATAACTTTCCCAATTTTGTTTCCATGGTTACTGGTCTATTTAGGTTTACTATATCTTCTGGAATTAGTATTAGCCATTGCATTTTCCCAGAAAATCGCCCATCTAAGTTTTCAAATGTATTGCAAGGGAGTTATACAAAGTATTCCTTATCATTTTAATTTTTTTAATTTATTTTTATTTTTTAAT